TTCGCTTACAGTTTGTGGAGGTTTTAGTCCAGACTTGGCAGATTACAAGGCAGAGTGGCCCATGGCAGAGAGCTATAGCTCAGGGTGGCAGAACACAGCAAAGCAACAAGCACACACCAGCCAGGAATGGGGGAGGAATGGCCTCAAGCACTCTTTTCCTCTCCCTACGTATGTAAACTATCCACCCCAGGGCGGGTGCAGCTCTCACTCCCATAATCAAACTCTAAAAGCCTGCCCCATGGCCGCATGAGGCTTTGGGGGGACATACAGACATAAACCATAACACGCCTATCTTTAAAAGAGAGAAAGCTAAATAGTTAAACACAACTGAGAGAAGGGGAGGGGAAGTAGGGAGGGCCACCCAAAAGGAAGGTTTAAAAGCTTAGCTATTATGGAGCTGACCGGGAGAAAAAGAGGTTGGGGGAAAACAAATTCTTCTGGAGACGAAGATCTGTCATTGGCCTCAGTTGTCTTCCAGGGTGATTGTATCAGTGTTCTTTTGTGTTTTGTTTTGTTTTGTTTTGCTTTGCTTTGTTTTGTTTTGTTTTGTTTTGTTTTGTTTTGTTTTGAGACAGGGCCTTACTCTGTAGTTCAGGCTGGCTTTGTAGCCCAGCCTGGCCTTGCAGTGTTCTTTCTTCCGGGGGAAAATGACAGCTGCTTTGTTTCCTCCGCTTTCTCTTTCCCTACACTCAAGGTGAAGGACCATTCTCTAATCTGGGACTGTTCACCTGAAGCTGCCTGCAGAGCAGATAAATTCCCAAGTCGGCCCCTACCTGTAATGGCTGGAGTTGGAGGCCAACAGCTCCTGCTTCCCTCAGCCACATATTGCTGACTCTGCCTGGCCCAGAAACAGGAGTTCTGCCCAAAGCACAGTCAGTGAAAAGCCTAGGGGCATGCCAGGAAGAGAAGGCCACCCTCCCTCCCTCTAACTCCTCTGGGGTGTTGAGGACCACAAATTCACAATGGCTAATTTTGCATACTTCCCTAAGGGATAAATGGAGGTTTGGGATTATTGGTATCACCCATTTAAGATTTCCCACTAACTCTTTAGAGATGAGCCATCCTCTCCACCCACTAAGACTAAACTAAAACCACTAAGATTAAAAAACACTACAGGGCAAGATCCTTCTTACATGGGATCATCTCCGCCCTCTGAGTCCTCCCAAGATTATCCCTTGAGTCATCAACCTCTGAGTCTTCCACTGACTTGAATCTTCTGCCAGCCCCGCCTATCATTGTACACACCCAATAAATAGTGGCTGGATTGGAGTGTCTTGGTCTCTGCCAGTCCTGAAGCATTGACCTCCTACCTGCCCCCATGCATTACTAAATGTGTGTCTTTTTTATTTCATCCTTTTGCCATGCCCCTCATACACGCAGTTGGGGATCTTTGCAGGTCCTTGGTACTGGGAACCTTCTAAAGCCAGACAGGGGGCTGGGGATTTAGCTCACCGGCAAAGCGCCTGCCTGGCAAGCGCAAGGTCGTGAGTTCGGTTCCTGGTACCGGAGAAAAAAATAAATAAATAAATAAAGCCAGACAGTCCACTTTCCCCAGTACTGTGAGACTATATGAGTTGCCCAAGATATCACAATCTCACACAGCCAAAAAGTGAAAGATCCAGAAGCATGCCTTTGTTGTTGTTTGATTTGGTTTGGTTTGCTTTGGTTTGGTTTTGAGACTGGGTCTTCCTATGTAGTCCAGGCTGGCCTCGAACTCACGGCAATCCTCCTGCCTCAGCCTCCAGAGTGTTGGGATTGCAGGTGGCATTCTAAAGACTTCACAAAATTAATTTCATTTTCCTAACAGATTTTGGGGTTTTTTGGTTTTGTTTTTTGTTTTGTTTTGCATTTTGGTTTTTGTTTTTTGTGGGGGTTTTTTTGTTTTTGTTTTTGAGACAAAGTTTCAACATGTAGCCGGGCATGGTGGTACACACCTGTAATCCCAGCACTTGGGAGGCAGAGGTAGGAGGATCATTGTGAGTTCCAGACCAGCCTGAGTTACAAAGTGAGCTCAAGGCCAGCCTGAACTGCATAGCGAGACCCTGTCTCAAAAAAGATCAAAAAAAAAAAAAAAGAAAAAGAAAAAACACCAAAAACCCACTATGTAGTACAGGCTGGTCTTGAACTCACTGTGTACCTAGGCTGGCCTTGAACTCACAGTGATCCTCCTGCCTCAGCCTCCTGAGTGCTGGGATTATAGGCATGCACCACCATGCCTGGTGCATCATGTAGTTTAGGCTGGTCTTCAACTCACTGTGTAACCCAGGCTATCCTCCTGCCTTAGCCTTCCAAATCCTGGCATTACATGCATGTGCTTCTTTTAGACTCTGGCTTCTCTTAGACACTCCTCCTTCCAGCTCCCCCAGCCATTTCCTTTCTTCTGGAAATTTTCCAGAGTACCCCAGTTCTCAGTTGTTTCTCCTGTGCTCTCTGTGCTTCCCTCAGGCTATGAACACCTAAAAAAAGTACCCTACAACCACAGCTCAGCAAAGGACATAAAAGACTCCAAGACAGCCAGGCGTGCTGGTGCACACCTGTAATCCCAGCACTCCGGAGGCTGAGGCGGGAGGATTGTTGCAAGTTTGAGATCAGCCTGGGCTACAAAGTGAGCTCAAGGCCAACCTGAACTGCATGGCGAGACCCTGTCTCAAAAAGATTGAAAAAGGGGGCTGGGGATTTAGCTCAGCGGCACAGCGCCTGCCTGGCAAGCGCAAGGTCGTGAGTTCGATTCCCGGTACCAGAAAAAACAAAAACAAACAAAAAAAAGAGATTGAAAAAGAAAAATTGCTTTACAAAAAATAAAAATTAAAAGACTTTAAGACATGTTTGACTCATAAACCAGTAATTTAATCCATGACAGTAGTAAATTTAATTAATTGTTTTTCTCCTTATTCTTTGGAAAATTTCTCTAATTTGGACCCAAATATATACCCTCACCCAGTGCAAGTGATAATGATATAGGGGAAAGAAACTCCCAACCTGAAACATATCTGGGACAAGCTCCTGTTCTCTAAAATCAAAGAATGAATTTTAGGTACAATGGAAGTTAAGAGCAGAATATATTTATTGGGGAAAAAAAGCTTCTGTCAGAGAGAGAGACAAGGGGACCCAAGTAAGTTGCCAAGGAATCTGCCATTTCTAGGGATTTTTATGGAGCAAAGCCAAGAGGTGGGTCCAAGGTGGGAAACTCGGGAACTCACAAGGCGGGTATGAGGTGAGACAAAATTATGGTCAACCGATGAGATTACAAGCATAATTGTTCAGGTAAAATTGATTAACTGGGGATCAAATGGGGAAGCAAGTCACGTAACAAGCAGACATGAACACAGAACAGGGGTTTTTCCTGTAGGGGGTTGGGTTAGTGACTCTTCCTCGCTTTTTCAAGGTGATTGCTACTTATTTAGAATATCAATCCCTGATGTCCATCCCTAGAGAGGTATGTGGTGCATTTGTTTCATCTTTTGTCTTGAGGTCTGGTGCACCTCGGAAGTGCCTGTCTCTCTGCAGTTGCAGGATATCTTGTCTTCCATACTGGCTCCTTCGAGGGCCTTGCCCTGTCTCACTGCCTATAATATTTCTATCTAACTCAGTTGCCTACAACAATAATGAAACAATTCATTCAGCAGGAAGCAGGCTGCTTGCAGAAAGAAAAAGAGGAGCCTCTTCTCCTTTCCTTTTAATTTCATGGAGTCAGTGGCTTCAGTGGCTTTAGCTCTGGCTGAGCTTAACTGCACTCAGGAAATCATTTTGTTGAAGACAAGAAAGGTCATTGGGGACTAGAAGTAGCCAGAAAGCACTAAAAGCTAAGTTGGAAAGGCTGGGAACTGCCTTTTTCCCACAAGGTCTGATTGGCAAGAGATTCTCCCAGTAGGCAGGACTTGGCTGGGCGTGGTGGGGCATTCCTGTAATCCCACCACTCAGGATCAATGAGTCCGAGGCCAGCCTGAGCTACAAAGCAAGACCCTATCTCCAGAAAAAAGAAAAAGAAGGCCATCTCAAGAGCTGCATAAGACAAAGCAACTCTACTCTGAGTTATAATATCTAATGCTGATAGAAGGCCATTCTCTGCCTTTCTCTGTAGCTCCAAGAGTGGTGTAGCAGGCTGTAAAACCCAGGTTAGAGGCTGTTTCTATTTCCAGAGATTCGTCAGGGTACACTTTCTTTATCCAGAGCGGAAGTACGCGTCTGTCAGGGAGGAAGGAAATAGTATGCACAGAGGTTGCGGTTACCACTTGGCCAGCAGGGTCACAGACGTGTTCACCCGCAGGCATTTGGCAGGATGAGTGACAAATGGAAGCGGCTAAGCTGTTCGGTGCTCATCTCCTTAACCTGAAGTTTCCCCCTTCCCAGGACTGAGGCGCTGAAGATGAAGTTAATTCACACAAGTTTTCAAAAAGCAGTTTGGCAGTATGTAACAAGACCATTAAAAGCTCATATTTTTTGACCCAAATAACCCCATTTCTGGGAATCCATCCTAAGGACATTCTGCAAGTGATTGATAGACTGTGAAGAAACATGAAATGTTTATGATGCAGTGATGAAGTCTGGAAGAACTAACCAAGAAGCTGGCCAGAGATAATAACAGTTGTGTTAGAATAATGATTTTATAACAGATTCTTTTTCATAAACTTTTCTTGGGAGGCCACAAGTTCAATGCCAGCATGGGCTACATAGTGAGTTCAAGGCCAGTCTCAACTACATGTCTCAAAAACAACAACAACAACAAAATAAATATGGGAATACTGACTTCTATCCTTCTTGGGCACCTCAAGGTTTAACAGTCAGGAACCTGACAAACACAATACACTCAAATGGGATAGCTGAACATTTCATGGAGGAGCCAGGTCTGGTGACACAGGCTGTAATCCCGGAAGTTGAGGCACAAGGATGGAAAGTTTGCATCCAGCCTGGGCAAGTTATCCAATTAGTGCCAATTTTCCTGTCCAAAAAAAAAAAAAAGGAAAAAAGGACTGGAGCTTGCTCAGTGTGAAAGCCCTGGGTTCAATTCCCAATGCAAAACATGAAAGAGGGAAGAGGGGAGGGGAGTGAAGAGAAGGGGAAAATAATGAAGTCAGCTTCAAGAGGAACTGCACCCTCCCTCCCTGTTTCTAGTGATTTACACCTGATGTCTTCAACTCTAAATAACTCAGTAATTATTGAGTACCTGCTTACTATCCAATAAGGAAATCAGACTTTCAGGTACTGTACAGCTATTTCATCATAAATGCAAAAATGCATATATAAATTAAGTGTGTTGTAAGGACACAAAAAAGCAATTGTCAGGAGGGAGGTGTAAATCGTGGAAGGCTTCAAAGAAAAGGCGATTAATTCAAGTTCGGATTTGAAGGTTATGTGCAAAGACAAAAGACAGGGACACATGGAACAAGATAGCATGCTTCGAAAATGTAGGTGGCTCTTCAGGGCTGGAAGAACACTGAGTGGGTGTGAGGAGCCTATGGGACATAAAGTTTCAGTCAGACCATGCAAGACCCTGTGCTTCAGCCGGAGCTTGTGCTTAGGAGCTGTCATCAGATTTGCACTTTCGGGAGATGACTAGGCCTCCCTAGAGAGAGTGAACTGAAGGAGACAAGAATGATGCTATGGGAAAGACGATTGTTTTTAAATAAAAAGAACAGTGCCCAGGAAGAGTGAAAAGTAGTCTGGCTTTGGGCTGGGTCTCGAGGAGAAAATAGCCTATCAGGGCCGGCCGACGCCCGTTCCCAGCACAGGCTCGTGCGTGCGTTGGGCCAGCGCTGAGCTCGCCCCGCTCCCTAGCCTCACGGGCCGCGGCGTCGGGCGGGTGGCCCTGCCTGGGTGGTCTCTGGCCCCGCCCCCTGCGGCGCCGTTACCTAGCAGCGGTCCTGCGGCCCTGCCAATGGGAGGGCGTCGCCCGGGCCCCTGCTCCCTTTTTCTGGGGCTCGGCCCCCTCCTGGACACTGCAATCTTCACCTTGAGCTGCGAATGCGTCCCCGCTGCTTTGCCTGCCCGTAGCACCCGCCGCGGCCACAGCGAACCAACCCGCACTGCCCGCTGTGTTTACCCACAGTCCGCACGCTCGCGCCTTCGCGGCCCGTGGGAAGCCCAGGCGGGCCCCGCGGCATCGAGGGGACCAGGCTAGCCTATGACAGAGCCCAGATAACGCCGGTTGGGGGCACTCGCCCCCACCCATCCGACCAGCATGGCTGGGCCACCGACCCTCAGAGAGCTGCCCCCCGACTACACGCACCCACCTCCAACCACGGCGCCTCAGGTGAGCAAAGGGGAAGCTGGGAAAAAGAGTGGGGCCAGGCCTGTCCCCGGGCCGCTGAGGTGTGATGTCTGTGAGTGCCCCGTGTTAGTGGGCATCTCTTTGAAGACAGGTGAGGACTTCCCTGACTGTGCAAGGGGTGTGTGTGTATCATCAAAGTATCACATGTGTATTAAACAATGTGCATACAGTATATGAAGCCTTTTGGGGCAGTTAATATGCATAGTCTTGAAACGTGCTTTCTTGGATTGCATCTGGTGACAGCGCACGCACACAGTGACAGCTGAACGAATCTGAGGTCACCTCTGACTGCCTGACGTGTGTATGAATATATGGATCCTACGCTCAGAAAATGGGTTTATATTTTCCTCAAGTGTAATGTGGAAAGGCAGTGGGGCAGGGAGTTCAGTCTTCCAAGTCTGAGCCTATATCTGTAGGTCATCTCTGTGTTGCGCCTGGAAATCAAGAAACCGGGGCTTGGCAGAGGGTAAATATAGGGAGAGAAGAGAATTTCAAGCATTGTTCCAGTGACACCTGGCTGACCCTTCTCTTTCCATCTCAGATCCCAACTGGGAACCCGAAGGCTCCGCTCTGGCTTCGCACTTACTTCCAGGGTCTGCTCTTCGCTCTGGGCTGCAGCATCCAGAGACATTGTGGCAAAGTGCTTTTCCTGGGACTGTTGGCCTTTGGGGCTCTGGCGCTGGGTCTCCGTGTGGCCATTATTGAGACAGACCTGGAACAGCTCTGGGTAGAAGGTGAGTTACCAGCCCTGCCCCTAGCTGCTTGGGTATGTTAAGCCCAAGACAAGACCAGCATGAGCAGCTGGCTACAGCCTGTGCACTTGGGCGTAAGCACCCACCCTGCCACTCCCCTAAATGGGCACTGAAGGTGATAGCATCCTGAAAATAGGTATATATTTATCTCATTATGTGTGTGCTTATTTAGTACTACTGCCAACCTTCTATGTGTACCTTTTACAGTGCAACAGGATTACAAGGCAAGAACATGTTTTAGTAGCACAGAAAGTAAATATGTGCTGAATAGCTGTAATAAAATACAAAGCAGAGTAGGATTATGTTGTGTAAGGAGACAGGGTGATAGCCAGGTGTGGTGGTGCATGCCTGTAATCCCAGCACTCGGGAGACTGGGGCAGGAGGGTTGTTGAAAGTTGGAGGCCAGCCTGGGATATAGTGAGTTCAAGGCCAGCCTGAATTACATAGTGAGATCCTGTCTCAAAAGAGGAAAAAAAAAAAAAAAGAATGCAAGGCGAGGTCACTCTGACCTGGAGAATTAAAAAGTTAGGCCTGTGCTCCCAGCTACTCAGGAGTCTGAGGCAGGAGGGCCACTTAGGCCCAAGAATCCAAGGCCAGTCTAAGGAAGAAAGGAGATCCTGCCTCAGAAAGAAATAAAGAACTGGAAGGCTACGAAAACTGACTGATCTGGCCAGGTCTCAGGAAGGGAAGGCATGCACCCAGGCCCCTGCAACCATTTAGTGTAGAAACACTACCAACTGTACTTTCAGGGCACCCGGGGTCAGATGGGATTAAATCCTTACTTCCTAATGGAAGCATTAGTTAAAAATTATTTCTTCTTAATAATTTCAGCGTGGCTGGCTTCTTTCCTAAGGTTGGGTTTCATATGGCAGCCTTTGACAGAGTCAAACTCAGCTCTGTTTCTTGCCTGGGAAATTTACTTTTGTAGGCTCCCCCACACCTCCCCCAGCTCTGGCCCATACCCAAGGCAGGGCCCAGGTTGGAGTCTCACACCCTTTAGTTATTTCAGATCCTGGCAAGTACTAGGATCCAGAGCAGATGTGTCTGGGAGCCTGCCTGCCTGCTGGGCTCCCACATGCCATCCCCACCCTACCCCCAGCCCTCCGCAGCGCTCCTGTGTTCACACTCTAGGCAAGCCCTGGGGTCCGGAGCAGATGTTTCCCTGCCTGCCTGCGTGCTTGCAGCCCCAGGACACACATGTGCATACGTGCACATAGCATCCCCCACCCACACGCTGCTCCTGGGTGGTCCCAGATTTTGGATTTCCTGCCACAGCAGAGGCAATCTCCCTTCCCTTCCGCCTTCTCCATTCCTACCTCTTCCCCATCTAAACACTGCTTGGCCCTCCGTGATTCTGCAGCCTCTGTCCTGCGCTCTAACACAGAAAGGGATAGACAGCACCACTTTTATGCTACTGTTTGGGGGAGAATATTGTAAAAGGGCAATAGTCAATTTTTAGAGATTTCTTTCTTTCTTTCTTTCTTTCTTTCTTTATTTTTTTTCTGTCTTTCTTTCTTTCTGGTTTTGTTTTGAGACAGGGTCTCACTATATAGCCCAAGCTGGCCTTAAACTTGAGGCAGTCCTCCCTCCTCAGCCTTTGGAGGGCTGGGATTACAGGCCTGTGCCACCATGCTTGGCTTTTTTCCCTTAATTTCAGAGTATCTTTCTGTCCTGTACTGGCTGGAGGTGAAGTAAAAGCAGTGAATTTTTTTTATTAATTAAGTTGATTGGTACAATTTAGGTATATATAATGATCACATTCATTATAAGGAATTTATACCTGTACCTGATAAACTTGATTCTTAATTTTCTTCTTCTTTTTTTTCTTTTTTTCCCATTCCCTTACCCTCCCTTCAACCCCTCTTCCCCTCCTTATTTACAAAAGCTAAAGTTAGTGATCTCAAGGTGATCTTTTCTCTATAGATCTGTAGCTGAGTCTTCTCCAGTTCCCTGGTCAGTGAGGAGCTGATCAGGGTGAGGATGAAGGGGATTGATTATCTGTTTTTTTCCCACTTTGCTAATCAAACCAGGGCTGGGCAAGCACTGTACCTGAGCTGTACTCCCAGCCTCATTAACTTTAAACCTAAAGGCCTCAGAGTAAATAGTTCTCTAGAGTAAAAACCACAACATGCATCCCAGTATCTACTTCCTGGAACTGTGAGAGAGATGGTTGAAAGGGGAGCTGCCCCTAAAGGAATACAGAGCCTTCTGTTTAAAAGGCAGAATGACCCCATCCCCTACGTACCTAACACTAAATCCTTGGACGTCAGCCTCAGTTTTTCTCACTCACCCAATTGGTTACCAGACCAGTAACTTCTTCCTTTTTAACCTGTCTCACAACAAACCCACCCAGCTAAAACACTCCTGATTTTGTTGTTTAGAATCTTTTTAGCCACAGGATAGAGAAAAGAAGGAAGGCTGGGCATGGTGGCACATGGTGACACATCCTAGCGTTTGGGAAGCTGAGGCAGGAGGACTGCCACAAATTCGAGGCCGGCCTAGGCTACATAGTGATGCCAAAGCCAGACTGAACTACGTATTTTTTTGTTTGTTTGTTTGTTTTTTCTGGTACTGGGAATCGAACTCACGACCTTGCACTTGCCAGGCAGGTGCTGTGCTGCTGAGCTAAATCCCCAGCCCCACACTGAACTACATATTGAGAGCCTGTTTTCTGTTTCTGTTTCTTTTTATTTATTTATTTATTTAGGTTTTTTTGAGACAGGGTCTCGCTATGCAGTTCAGGCTGGACTTGAGCTCACTTTGTAGCCCAGGCTGGACTTGAACTCACAGTGATGCTCCTGCCTCAGCTTTCCAAGTGCTGGGATTACAGGCATGCGCCACCACACCTGACTCTGTTTCTGTTTTGAAACAGGGTCTCACTCTGAAGTTCAGGCTGGCCTTGAACTCATAGAGATCCTCCTGCCTCAGCCTCCCGGATGCTGGGATTGTGGGCATGTGCCACCATGCCCAAATGAGACCCTGTTTCAGGAAACCAAAAAAAAAGGAAAGAGTGAGAGAAAAGAAGGAAGGAAAAAGACTGATGTATTATTTTCTGTAACAGGAGGCCTGGCAGTAGGGACATTCCAGTGTGGTTAACCCAGCAGCCCAAGAACATCAGCAATCACAGCTTCTCTCTGTCTCTCCTCTGTCATCTTCAGCATGTTGGGCTTGAAGTCATTTCTGTCTTGCGTCCTTTTCTAAAGTGAGGAAAAATTTACCAGAAGCCTCTCAGATGATTTACCAGTTGGCCACTTTGGCAAGAACTCTGTGTCATCCTGTGCCTAAATCCTTTACTGGGCAAAGGTGATGGAATTATGTGACTGGCTTCTCAGACTAATGAGATGTCACCCTCTGATTCTGAGAGGAGCCCGCTGTCCTGATTCCTGGGTCTTTCAGAACACCAGTCTGTCAGGAAGGAGGGAAGAGATCTGCCAGCCTCACTTCAAATCTGCCTCCATGTCGCCACCCTGTGGTGTCTCTAAATCTGCCCAAGTCAGCCCTTGGTTTAGAGCCCTTCTATCAGTTTCTGCCAGGTTCTGGGAAGTCCCCGGCGTCAAATATAGGCATCATAGCCTGCATTCTAGGCCCTTCATACTCCGACTCAATTGCTTCTCTAGCATCATCCCTGGATTCTTCCTATCTCACTCATTTATTTATTTCATCTTTTTGAGACAGGGTCTCGCTATGCAGTTCAGGCTGGCCTTGAGCTCACTTTATAGCCCAGGCTGGTTTCAAACTCACAACAATCCTCCTCTTCCCCTCCTTATTTACAAAAGCTTTGTTTGTATTTTTCTTCCTGGCTTTTTGTTGTTGTTGTTGTTTTCTCTTCTTCCCTTTCCCTCTCCCCTCTCCCTAGTTCCCCAACCCATTTGAACATTTTCTTCCCATTTTTTTCCCATTTCCCAATATCTATCATACATTTTAGTCCTTATATACACTTTTGGTTTCCCACACCAGAGAAACAATTCCGTGTTAAGAGTATGTTCTCAAAGTGCATCCACTTACCTAGACACGTCTCAGGCCTAGTAGACCATGTCACTTCTAAAAAGCAGTATAAAAGACACTGAAGAGCATGATGGTTCTGGGTGAGGCTGGTGTCACAGAGAGACAGCATGTGAGGGTCCAGAGAGTAGCAGTGAGCGGCGGGCAGAGGCCCGAACAAGGGGAAGCTGAACTAGGTCTGCGACAGACTGACTCCACAGAGCGGCCCTCACCTTCTCCGCTGCAGTTAGACCTCATCATCTCAGTGTCGCTGCCTCCCCAGGCCCCAGTGACAGCATAGCGCAGGACCCAAAGGATGCTAAGACCAAGGACACGCAGGCAGACGGGCACGGGGCCTGCTTTACAGTCTGCACAGTGAGGCTGCCGAAAGGAACCTGCACGCTGTAGCCAGCTCTGATTTTACCTCTGCCAGGGCATAGGAGCCAATTCCACAGCCTCCCTCCTGAGCGGTGGCAGCATCCTACTAAAACATCGAGGCCTTGTTTCAAAAAAAGGCTGACTGTCCCCCTCCCTGAGCCACCCATCATTACCAGGCACTGCCGCCCCTGCCCTGTTCCAGAGCAGTTTGCAGGGAGGAGCGTGAGCGTCCTGAACAAAGAACCAGCTCCAACCCCATACCTGTTCTTTTAGGAAACCTTCCCTATTAGCAGCCCCTCCGGGCCCCTGTTGTTCCTTGTCTGCCCGCGAAGGCAGAGGGGGACAAGTGTGGGCTCCTTCACCAGCATGCTCCGTGCTCCCATAACCCCAGCCCAGGTCCAGCTCATGCTCATTTTTAAATTTTTGCCCCACACTCACCCAACCAGGCTCATGCTTAAACCCTAACCCCCATAAAAAGTCCATAAAGAAGAGGCTGAGGATTTAGCTCAGCAGCACAGCACCTTCCTGGCAAGCATGAGGTCATGAGTTTGATTCCCAGTACTGGAAAAACAAAACAAAACAAAACAAAACAAAAGTCCATAAAGAGCTGGGCATGGTAGTGCACGCCTGCAATCCCAGCCCTTGGAGGCTGAGGTAGGAGGATTTCCATGAGTTCGAGGCCAGCCTGGGCTACATAGAGAGTTCAAGATGAGCCTAAGCTATGTAGCAAGACCTTGTTTCAAAAATATAATAATAATCATTTTTAATTTTAAAAAATATAAAAGAAATCTTTAGAGCCATGCCACTGAGGCTTTTCCACTTCCTTGGCAGGAGCATGGGGGCTCAGTCAGGCCCCGCAAGGCTATCAGGAAAGCAGGGTCTCTTCAAAACACTGACTCTTCCCCTTGTCCCTGGGAAGCCCTCGGAGTTTAGGGTCCCGAGTCCACCTGAGCTCTGATCCCCCAGCCCATCTCCCCCAGTGTTCTCTCCTGCTCTGGCAGTGGGCAGCCGAGTGAGTCAAGAGCTGCATTACACCAAGGAGAAGCTGGGAGAGGAAGCTGCCTATACCTCCCAGATGTTGATTCAGACTGCACGCCAGGAAGGAAAGAACGTCCTCACGGTGGAAGCCCTGGGCCTCCACCTCCAGGCGGCCTTCACTGCCAGTAAAGCGCAAGTATCGCTGTATGGAAAGTGAGTGTGGCCGAGCCCGAGCAGGTGGGATGTGCTACGGCACTTCTGACGTGGGAATGCCCCTGGCCACTGATCACCTGTGCCCTGGCTTTTGCAGGTCCTGGGATTTGAACAAAATCTGCTATAAGTCGGGAGTTCCCCTTATTGAAAATGGAATGATTGAGCGGGTGAGTGTCCTGAACCATTGCCACGGGCTGGATGAACACACAGCCCGGCAGAGGCAGGACCTTTTCTGCCCTGTGGGAAGACCCAGAGGACTCCAGAGTCCCAAGCATAGGGAGGAACCTTGGGCGGAGTCCAGGGCGGGACTGATGCAGCCGGGCTGTCCTTGGCAGATGATTGAGAAGCTGTTTCCGTGTGTGATCCTCACCCCGCTTGATTGCTTCTGGGAAGGTGCCAAACTCCAAGGGGGCTCCGCCTACTTACCGTGAGTGTCCTACACTGCTCCTGGGCCCTGCTTCATCTCCCACCAGGGGCTTCGCCGGCAGAAAGGAGCAGGGAGAGGGAGAACCTTATCAAATCCTCATTACCTCCCGAGCCAGGGCAGAATGTGGGCTGTCACGGCTTCCAGATGCCCTCCTCACCTCTAAAGGAGGGGAAAGCCAGGTGTGGTGGCGCACACCTGTAATCCCAGCACTTGGGAGGCTGAAGCAGGAGGATCACTGGGAGTTCAAGACCTGCCTGGGCTACAAAGTGAGCTCAAGGCCAGCCTGAACTGTATATAGTGAGACCCTGTCTCAAAAAGACAAAAATAGGGGCTGGGGATTTAGCTCAATGGCACAGCACCTGCCTGGCAAGCGCGAGGTTGTGAATTCGATTCCCAGTACCGGAAAACAAACAAACAAAAAGACTAAAATAAAATAAAATAAAGGAGGGGAAGACCTGTTTTGTTTACAGAAAACAATACAGGGATCTGCAAGATCTCAGCAAAGGAGAAAAGAGATTCCCACAAAGAGATTTAAGGCAGGGAATAAGCTAGTTATTGGCTAAGCTGTTGCCTGGGTCAGAAAAAACAACTGTTAGATGAAGGTGCCTGTGTTGTTAGCAGAACCGAAGGGGGGCAGCGTGGCATACACGCGGGGACTTTGCTGGGCCCTTTCCATGCACTAAGTATACCCAGCCTGATGGCTGTCTTAGCCCCTTGTACCCATCCACAGACCACTGCAGGAATCTGGGGGGCTTGGGTAGCCCAGCAGCTCTGAGAAGCTGAGCCATGCACACCCTCCACACAGAACAGATAACACCTGCGAAGACGGGGCGTGCAGCACAGGTCCACAGCCACAGCCTGGAGGGTAGATGTGAGTCCCTGACTCTCCCTGACTCTGGGCTTCCCCCGCAGGGGCCGCCCTGATATCCAGTGGACCAACCTGGATCCAGAACAGCTACTCAAGGAGTTGGGCCCCTTCGCCTCCCTCGAGGGCTTTCGGGAACTGCTGGACAAGGCGCAGGTGGGCCAGGCCTATGTAGGGCGGCCCTGTCTGGACCCTGAGGATCTCCAGTGCCCTCCTACGGCCCCCAACCACCACAGCAGGCAGGTGGGTTCTGCCCAGGTCTGCCAGGGAAGGCTCTCCGTCCCCGTCCTCTGCGTGTGTCCCTCTGTTTGGAGAGAGCTAACTGTTCAGCCCCTGCCCCACTGGGGTAGTCCGTTCCCACCCCTCCCCTCCAAGGAACCCTCCAGTGGCGTATGAATCCCTTTCTCCTTTCCTAAGCCCAGAGCTAAACTTTCTCAAAATTAACAATACAAGGAAAGTGAGAACAAAACAGCTAAACACAAATACAGCACCTAGTCTCCCAAACGTGCCCATGGGCCTCTACTAGAGTCGCGCTAGCTGCTCCCAGCAGCCTCTTTCCAGCCCTCAGTCCCTCTGTGGCCGCCTGTCTGTAGGACACTAGCGTCCCCTCTTGCAGAGCAGTTGCCCACCCCCACTTCAGGGCCGCTGAGGTCCTACAAGCCTGGGGAACCTCAGCCAGGCCTCTAGTGTCACACCCCCCCTTCCCGCTCCAGGCTCCCAGTGTGGCTCAGGAGCTGAGTGGAGGCTGCCACGGCTTCTCCCACAAATTCATGCACTGGCAAGAGGAATTGCTGCTGGGAGGCGTGGCCCGGGACCCGCAAGGACAGCTGCTGAGGTAGTAGGGCCTCCCAGGAGCTGGTGAGGGAATCCCACGTGTGGGACTCTCCATGCCCTGAAAGCAGCCCTGGCGATGGCCTGCTGCACCCCCTCCGGGTGTTTGGGCAGCTCTGACCCCCATGTCTCCTGTGCCCCGAATCAGGGCGGAGGCCCTCCAGAGCACGTTCCTGCTCATGAGTCCTCGCCAGCTGTACGAGCACTTCCGGGGCGACTACCAGACACACGACATCGGCTGGAGTGAGGAGCAGGCTGGCATCGTGCTGCGAGCCTGGCAGCGGCGCTTTGTGCAGGTCCGCGTGGCCCAGGGCGGGAGGGTCCCCTCCCCCGTCACTCCCCCTCAGACCCACCCTGTCTCTCCAGCTGGCCCAGGAGGCCCTGCCTGAGAACTCCTCGCAGCAGATCCACGCCTTCTCCTCCGCCACGCTGGACGACGTCCTGCACGCCTTCTCAGAAGTCAGTGCCACCCGTGTGGCAGGAGGCTATCTGCTCATGGTGGGTCTTGCTCCTGGCACCTTGCCCCACTCTACCTGGTACCCATCCTGGAGTCCCCGTGTGAGACCGCAACTTGTGTCCCCACAGCTGGCCTACGCCTGTGTGACCATGCTGCGATGGGACTGTGGCCAGTCCCAGGGGGCTGTGGGCCTTGCTGGGGTATTGCTGGTGGCCCTGGCAGTGGCCTCAGGCCTTGGGCTCTGTGCCATGCTCGGGATCGCCTTCAATGCTGCTACTACTCAGGTACACAGGACTGCAGGCCTGTCTCGGGGGTCGTCACCAGTCTGTGACCCTCCTCCAGCTGCCCACCCCTTCCCCTCCAGGTGCTGCCCTTCTTGGCACTGGGCATCGGGGTGGATGACGTTTTCCTGCTGGCACATGCCTTCACAAAGGCCCCACCTGGCACCCCTCAGCAGGTGAGACCCTGTTCTCCAGCCTGGGGCCTTGAAGGCAGGCCAGCATGGTGGTTAAGAGCCTCTTGGTCCAAGTGACCTTAGACTACTAGTTCACTGCTTTGTCCTATTTCTAATAGGGGCAGTGATAGTGCTTGTGTCCTGATACTGTTGTGAGGATCACTGAGATAACCAAAATGAGTGCTTAAAACAAAACATGGGTCAGGTGTGATAGCGCAGGCGCCTGTAACCGCAGCACTCAGGAGGCTGAGACAGGAGGATCCTTGCAAGTTCAACAACAGCCTGGGCTACAAAGTGAGCTCAAGGCCAGCCTGAACTGCATGGAAGACCCTGTCTCAAAAAGATTAAAAAAAAAAAAAAAAGGGCCTGACACAGGGACACGCAATCCCAGCAACTTGGGAGGCTGAAGCAGAAGAACTGCAAATTCAAGTCCCACGTGGGCAACTTAGGGAGCGATAGAAATTTAAAAAGCTAGGGATATAGGTCAGTGTGACGGCCCTCGGCTCAGACCTTAGTACTTCAAAATAAAAAACAGAAGAGCGCGTGACACATACTCGGTACTCCATAAACACTAGCTGCCGCGGCATTATTACCCACCCCTGCAGCCCGTGGCCCCTCCCCGCGACCTGACGGTGCTGTCCCTGCTCTGTGCCAGCAGGAGCGCATGGGCGAGTGTCTGCGGCGCACCGGCACCAGCGTCACGCTCACGTCAGCCAGCAACATGGTGGCCTTCTTCACAGCCGCCCTGGTGCCCATCCCTGCCCTGCGGGCCTTCTCCCTGCAGGTGAGGCCTCACGACCGGCAGCAGGCAGGGTGGGCACAGGGCTAGGCCGCGCCTCCTGCCGCATCTGTGCTCCGCCCCCAGGCGGCGGTCGTGGTCGGCTGCAACTTCGCAGCTGTGATGCTCGTCTTCCCAGCCATCCTCAGCCTGGACCTGCGCCGGCGCCACCACCAGCGCCTGGATGTGTTCTGCTGCTTCTCCAGGTACCGTCCCCACGCACACACCGCTCCCGGCCCTCGCCCCAGCCCAGCCTGTGCCCTCCCTCACACTTCCAGGCCTGGGCCTGCCATGCATTCTCTCTGCCTCTTCTAGCCCCTGTTCTGCTCGAGTGGTTCAAATCCTGCCCCAGGAGCTGGGCGAGAGGACAATACCAGTGGGCATTGCCCACCTGACCACCACAGTACAAGCTTTCACCCACTGCGAAGCCAGCAGCCAGCATGTGGTCACCGTCTTGCCGCCTCAAGCCCACCTGGTGCCCCCAGCTTCTGCCCCACTGGCCTCTGAGCTCTTCAGCCCTCGAGGGTCCACTCGAGACCTTCTGGACCAGGAGGAGTGCTCCAGGCAGAAGGCATCCTTCGAGGCCCCGCCCTGTGCCTGCTGGAATCTTGCCCACTTCGCCCGGTACCAGTTCGCACCCTTGCTGCTCCAGTCACACGCCAAGGTAAGAGCAGGTGGTGGGCAGAGGCTCGGTATCTGCGGGCCCCGAGGAGGGCAGAGGGCCCGGCCCAGCGTCTGAGAGCTGGAGGGGGCCCTGAGCCCGACTCCATTGCCGTTTCCCACAGGCCCTGGTGCTGGTGTTCTCTGGGGCTCTTCTGGGGCTGGGCCTCTATGGAGCCACGCTGGTGCAGGACGGGCTGGCCTTGGCAGACGTGGTGCCGCGGGGCACCAAGGAGCACGCCTTCCTGAGCGCCCAGCTCAGGTACTTCTCCCTGTACGAGGTGGCCCTGGTGACCCAGGGTGGCTTTGACTACGCCCACTCCCAACGGGCCCTCTTTGATCTGCACCAGCGCTTCAGTTCCCTCAAGGCTGTTCTGCCCTCGCCTGCCGCCTGGGCACCCCGCACCTGGCTGCACTATTACCGCAACTGGCTCCAGGGTGAGCGGCCAGGAGACTGGCAGGGAGGGTGCCGCAGGGCAGTGGCTGGAGCCTCGGGCTCACGACCCCATCCTGCGTCTCCCAGGAATCCAGGCTGCCTTTGACCAGGACTGGGCCTCCGGGCGCATCACCCGCCACTCTTGCCGCAATGGCTCCGAGGACGGGGCCCTGGCCTACAAGCTGCTCATCCAGACCGGAAATGCCCAGGAGCCTCTGGATTTCGGCCAGGTTGGGGGGAGGACTTGGGTGGTCAGAGGCACAGAGGGGCTCGAGACCCCAGCCCCGGGCCCTCAGACCCTTCTGCCTCTGCAGTTGACCACAAGGAAGCTGGTGGACGAGGAAGGCCTGATCGCCCCCGAGCTCTTCTACATGGGGCTCACTGTGTGGGTGAGCAGCGACCCCCTGGGACTGGCAGCCTCGCAGGCCAACTTCTACCCGCCACCTCCCGAGTGGCTGCACGACAGATTTGACACCACCGGGGAGAACCTTCGCAGTGAGTTGGGCTCGCGGAGCCTGGCCCACCCCCGCCCCGCCCCGCCCCGCCCCGCGGTCCCGCCCCAAGCGCCGGCCCAGGGCCCTCCGCTCACCTCCTCGCTCCCTCTGCCTGCTCCGCTCCTGCCCGCAGTCCCGGCTGCACAGCCCCTGGAGTTTGCCCAGTTCCCCTTCCTGCTGCACGGCCTGCAGGAGACCGCAGACTTCCTGGAGGCCATCGAGGGCGCGCGGGCGGCGTGCGCGGAGGCCGGCCAGGCGGGGGTTCGCGCCTACCCCAGCGGCCCCCCCTTCCTCTTCTGGGAGCAGTACCTGGGCCTGCGGCGCTGCTTCTTGCTGGCGGTGTGCGTCCTGCTGGTGTGCACCTTCCTTGTCTGCGCCCTGCTGCTGCTCAGCCCCTGGACCGCGGCTCTCGTGGTGAGTTCGGCGTGGGGAGCGGGGAGCGCTGCTCTCTGCAGCCGGCGCGTGCGGAGAGGGGATCCCTGAGCGAGCCCCGCCTCCCTAGGTGGTGGTCCTGGCCATGGTAACTGTGGAGCTCTTTGGTGTCATGGGTTTCCTGGGCGTCAAGCTGAGTGCCATCCCCGTGGTGATCCTCGTGGCCTCTGTAGGCATCAGTGTGGAGTTCACAGTCCACGTGGCCCTGGTGAGCACGGGCCCTGGGGGGACAAGACAGCTCAGTCAGGTTCGGCAGATATGGTTTAGCACCTTTTTTTTTTTCTTTTGGGTTTATCTGGTTTCGGTTTTGGGGTTTTTGTTTGTTTGTTTGAGACAGGGACTCATTTTATACTTCAGGCTGGCCTTGAACTCACTAT